ATGCTTCTGATCAGGTGGTCAATGTCCTCCTGTGGTATCTCATTCCAGGCAACCACCAACTTCTCTTGAAGTGCTTCTAGAGTCTGAGGAGGACGTTGCAAATTGAGCAATCTCCTACCCATCATATCCCACACGTGCTCAATTGGGGATAAGTCGGGAGATCTTGGTGGCCATGGTAACAATGTGACATCATTATATTGAAAGAAGTCTATTGTGACTCTTGCAACATGTGGTCGGGCATTATCTTGTTGGAAAGTTGGATGTGCCAGGGTGTCAAGATAGGGTAAAAGATGGGGTTCGTGGATATAACGCTGCGCGTTCATGTTACCTCTGATGAAGATTAAAGGTAACCTGGAACCATAAGCTATAGCACCCCAAACCATAAATGCAACAGTGTGATGAACATGTCTTTCAACAAAAAACTGTGGATTCCTCCTTTCACCACGTCGCCTTCTAACCCTGGCACGACCATCGTGCATGCCTATACAAAATCGAGACTCGTCACTAAAGACAATACTGTTCCATTCCTGATCCCAGAGTTACCGTTGTCTGCACCACTCAAGGCGATTACGTCGGTGTTCTCGAGTTAAAGGGAGGACCCAGTGTGGCCGGTATGAAAACAAGCCAAAACTTCTCATTCGTCGGTAAACACTTCGCACGCCATTAGGTCTTCCGTGTTCTGCAAACCATTCATTTGCAATGGACCTGGTAGTGGAGAAACGGTCCCTTAAGGCCAATAATCTTAGGCGGCGATCTTCACGGTCTGTTGTTCTACGGCGGCGTCCAGTGCCCCTTGCTCTTTGCGTACGGCCTTCTCGAAGCCATGCCTGACAACACCTAACCACAGTGTCTACACTTCTTTGCACTCTAACTGCAATTGCCCGAAAAGAAAGTCCCGCTTCCCGAAGTCCCACTATACGGCCCCTATCAAACTCACTAAGTTGACGAAATCGTACAGGTCTCCGTACTCTAGGCATCGTAACCGATCGTAAAGGATGTTAAGAACCAAAATCCGCCAACGTTGATTCTTTACTGCGGAAATATTCATTTTTAGAGCGTTAGTGAATTAAAAAAAAAAACCGTATAAAAACCGGAATGTCCAACTGATAAGGCTGAACATTTTTTCACTTGTTATTTACAGTAAGATAAATACATTCACCAACTTTTCTTAAAATAAAACCATTTAAACTGGGTGTTCGGATTTATATGTCAGTATAGTTTTGTCATATCTCTGTACATAGATGCTCTCTTGACGATTTCTATACAAACTTTGTTTGTCTCAAGAAAAAAATAAATTATTATTATATTATTATTACGATGACCATAATTACCCCACTAGACCTAAAGATTTGTTAATACCCCTTAAGCATCGCACAAGTACCTTAAAAGATATCATAGTTATATGATCTGTAAAGCCTTCAATAAACTTAATGTAGGAATCAGGGATTTTCCAATATTAGTTGTTTTTAAGCCAAAACGCAAAGCTTTTTTGTTAGAGGGATGTTTTTACTGCTTGGAAGAGTTAATTCCTAAACAAATTTTTGTTTTCTAGACTCTTCAACCAATTTGTCTAACGTTTTACTTGTTATTGTGCCTGATACTGTTTAACAGAGAAATAAATGGATTTACCATCATTATTATTTGCATCTATTCCTATCTATTATTAAAGGGTTTCTTCTGTAAAAGAATACACCTTCCGATTATTTATGAAAAAAGTTTCAGTTAAGTGGCTGCCGCGGCTGACCTGGCCCAATTTTGAAGCACATTTTAGATAGCTTGTGGGTCTATTTCATCAATAACTTCATGGATATTTTCCTTAGGATGTAATTTGCACGAAAATATAATTTTTTCGTTATGGAACCTTCCGCTTGGTATTTTACAGAAAAAATTTGCACTTTGTGTGATAATGCTTTAGCTTTATCAGCTGTTTTTTTCTTGTTTACGCAAAAAATTGATCAAAATTATATAAATATAACATACAATGTAAATTACTGTGATACGGTTCATGGCACTAAGATGATTTTGCATTATTTTATTGATGAAAATAGCTCATTGTTAAGTAGTAATTTGTTTTATTTCAGATGAATATTCCCATCACTTCACCACCATCACTATCCTACTCTCTCCATCTAGTTGCTATGTTGCCAAATCATGGATACTTATACACCCTAATTTGGTTTGTTAAATTCTTACTTATACAGGATGACTTCGAAGTTGAGTCATTTATTTTAACAGTGAGTAGATCTGATCAAAAGAAATGTTTTTTTCCTTTACCATTTTTCTGGTAAAATTAAAGCAACAAAGTTATAGCCCTTTGGAAGTTTGAGTACCGCCCTGTCTCAATAATAATATTATGTGCTCGTGTTTGGCGACAACGGATATAATCTGCCTTATCGGTTCATCGCATCGAAAACAAAAAAGCGAAAGAATTTGGAACGATGTTTTTACAATTATTTTATTCAGTTGTATACAGTCAGTGTCAGTCGGTAACGCGTGAGCGAATTGTGGTGTCTGTTGCGCGGCTCAAACGAAATCCAAAAGGGCACATGTTTACGAAAATGCTGAACTTGTGGATATGATTCTTATTTACGCGGATTTATGCGGATCGGTTTCCCAATCGAGTGCAACCAACCCCTCGTGCCTTTGTTAATGTAGTACCAAGGGCTCGTGAATCAGGTGACTTAAGACCTCACAGATTATTGGCCTTAAGGGACCGTTTCTCCACTACCAGGTCCATTGCAAATGAATGGTTTGCAGAACACGGAAGACCTATTGGCATGCGAAGTGTTTACCGACGAATGAGAAGTTTTGGCTTGTTTTAATACCGGCCACACTGGGTCCTCCCTTTAACTCGAGAACACCGACGTAATCGGCTTGAGTGGTGTAGACAACGGTCACTCTGGGATCAGGAATGGAACAGTATTGTCTTTAGTGACGAGTCTCGATTTTGTTTAGGCATGCACGATGGTCGTGCCAGGGTTAGAAGGCGACGTGGTGAAAGGAGGAATCCACAGTTTTTTGTTGAAAGACATGTTCATCACACTGTTGGAGTTATGGTTTGGGGTGCTACAGCTTATGGTTCCAGGTCACCTTTAATCTTCATCAGAGGTAATATGAACGCGCAGCGTTATATCCACGAAGTTCTAGAACCCCATCTTGACACCCTGGCAGACAAGATAATGCCCGACCACATGTTGCAAGAGTCACAATAGACTTCTTTCAACATAATGATGTCACATTGTTAACATGGCCACCAAGATCTCCCGACTTATCCCCAATTGAGCGCGTGTGGGATATGATGGGTAGGAGATTGCTCAATTTGCAACGTCCTCCTCAGACTCTAGAAGCACTTCGAGAGGAGTTGGTGGTTGCCTGGAATGAGATACCACAGGAGGACATTGACCACCTGATCAGAAGCATGCCTAGGCGCGTTGGAGAATGCGTAGCACATCAGGGTGCATCCACACATTATTAAAGGTCAAAGGGCTTTGAAGCAGTGCAATCATTTTGAATTTTTTATCATTTACTTATTATGCTTCATTAAGTACTTATACAAAATTTTATTAAAATAAAACCATTTAAACATGTTAAGCATGGATGTGTTACGAACAGTAAAAATAATACCAACTTAAAAAACCAACTGATGGCCCACCCCTTATAACCAACAGGCTGACTTTTGTCATGATTGTCAAATGTGCCTCATACTTGATAATAAAGCGGGAGTGACAGACAGTCTTCAATCAAGAATCGTCGAATCCTGCATTTAACAGTCAATATAGTCGCATGTCGTTTTATTGCTCTGGGATGATCCCGACACCCCGATAATCCAGCAGAATCCAAGGGATACAGGGGGATGAAGGGATAGGGTGGCAATACGAAAATTGATTATGTCTGGCAATGGACCGGAACCTAATTAGCTTTGACGTACACTCACGAGCAGAACATTGCGCATGTTGGTCGAGAGGGAACAGAAAAACATTTACGGCTGTCTCAACTGAGTTATGGAGATACCCCCCTCGAGGTGGTGCTTGCATCCCGTCGAGCGATGACACGCACTAAAATCAAGAACGAGGGGATGTAGCATGTACGGGGTGCGTGATATTTAAAGGTCACTTAGCCTTGAGGGAGCGAATACATTTTATTGAAGCCGCAGAAAAGTTCAAACAAAGTAGAATACTCGTATAGCTTTGTTTGCAGATGGATAACAAAGAGAAACAACTCGTTCTTGTGACCGGATATGATACCTACACGGGTGTTTCGTATCATTTTGTCGTTTTTTTGTGCCATAACGTAGATTTTTCTACAAGATGTCAACTTAGCTGTAGCTGTTGTACACTTATGAAAAGTGTATTTATAGGTTATAATAAGATTTATTTTCGTGAACATCATAAGTTACAGGTGGTATTGCTGTAATAGCACTAGACGTTGCAGTTCTTTTGTAGTTAACCCTTTGGTTTTCTCAGTTTCGTATTTCTCTACTGCTAATTTTCTTTTTGGTGGCAATTTCTTCTGAATTGCTGGCGCTGGAATACTAACTGTTTGCTCACTGAGCTCGGTATATAGTTCACTTCCTTCTTCTTGAACACTACCAACCTGAATGGCACTTCTAATTTTCCCAATTGTAGGATTACAGTCACCTTCCATAGCTTTCAGCAACTTTCTTTCACAATCTAACAAATTAATTGCTTTATTACCAGTTTTTTTTAGATCTCTTTTTTTCTTCAACCTTGATTTCATGTTGTTGATTTTTTTAATAAGCCTTTAGTATTTAACGGTTTACCGAATGTTGATTCGTATTTTTTCAACATCTTCTTCAAGGCATCGTCCTTTCTCATTTTTATTTTTGGAACGTGTCACTTTTGCAAAATAATCGGAGCAATGGCAATTTCATTTGCGATGAACTGCAGGTCGTCGCCATTATTTTCTATAGTTTCCTCATCACTTGAGGATGACATGCTTATTAATTTGATAAAAAATTGTATCCAGTAAAAATTCGGAACGGTCTGGCGTACAACTGTCAGTGATGCTGAGTGAACGAACTCCAACGTCTACTACAAGCTGGAACAAGTCAGAACATGTCGCTCAAGATACAAGTACCAGTCAAAATTTTACTTCTTCTTGGAGGATATCCTCGCGAGTATAAGGTAATCATTAGGAATATGAAAACAAGGATATGCTTATACTTCTACCTTTTTCTCCGAAGCAAGACTGTATGCTTCCAAGGATATGCTTCTCTTTTATGAATAATAATTGGTTTCTTGTCTCAAATACATTACTAGAGGTGCAAATTAGCTGAATTTCAAAATTGAGAGAGATAAGAAAAGATTGTCTTTTCTTATCTCTCTATTTAAGTCCTTTTTGAAACTGGAAAAGTCGGTAGGTTGAAATGCTAAGCTTATCTCTTTCTTTGCTAACAAAAGCAGATTTAAAAAAAGATTTAACATGAGTTGCAAAATCCATAATGATGTTCTAATTGACGTCTTCAACTTTAAACTGCTTTGAAGTTGAACGTATACTTTATCTGAAGTCACTTGAAACACTGTGAAATACCGGGTGCGTTTTATATATCTATATTCAACACGCTCTGTTGCTGCAAAAATCGCCAAATTTCGCAGCAAATATCCCCCGTATAAGAGATCAAAGGAAGTTTCACCGGTCCACGTGGAGTAAAGCACGCCTATGCGTGGACATAGCCAATGAGAAAGCGTGTATTTCAGAGCTCCAAACAAGTGCAGGTGGCTACTGAAAATTGAAACAGTTTAGCCAGTGCCGTGTAGCGGTGAATAAACGTGTTTTCTTTAGTCTGTCCGTGTTTTTTCATAGATTTTATTAGTTTGTGTGTTTTTGACTTTTGAATACTCAGTTTACTTGTTGATTTAATTGTTGTGTTGATTGTTCTTGTGTATCCTAAATATGGCTCTTTGGATACCTTGGGAAAATGCTCCACGCCACGAGGAGATGGTTGATGAACCTGTGCAGGCAGAATTCTTTCATAAAGATTTAGACGAACAGACCCAAAGAGTAATCCTAAATATGTATGTTTGTCTGAAAAACGAAAATCCAGATTCCTCGCAAAATCAAATTTTAAACAGAATTTGTATCCTGACAAAAATCAGTCGGTCTATCATTTATCGGGTTATAAAAAGGGGAGATGTAGTCAACCATTCCTTCCACAGAAAGCGCATAGGACAAAAATTAAAAAGAATAGACGTGGGTTTTCAGGAAGATATTCGTCGTATAATATACGGATTTTATAAAGAAAATTTGGTGCCCACGTTGGAAATGATACGGGATAAATTAAAAGATTATCCTGAATATTTTTGTAATTACAAATGCTTAGACTCACTGCACTGTATTGTAAAACTGTGTGGTTTTCAATACAAAAAATTAGATAAAAAAATGGTGATTATGGAGTCGTCTCGAATCGTTGAATTGCGCCAAGAATTTTTGCACAAAGTTAAAATTTATAGAGAGCAGAAAAGAAATCTGATTTACCTGGATGAAACGTGGTATGATACCCATGATGTTGTGCAGTACGGCGGGGTTGACGACAGCAACAAGTGCATTTTAAATGCACCATGCAACCGTGGAAAACGAATCATTATTCTCCATGGTGGCAGTGAAAATGGATACCTAATGCCTTGCTGTTATCTGCCAAAAATGTCAAAGAATCATGTGCCGACTATCATGAGGACAAGACCTCCGACTTATTTGAAAAGTGGATAGAACAGCAGTTAATACCAAACATTTCCCCAAATTCAGTGATTATTATGGACAATGCGCCATACCATTCCCGACAGAAAAACAAAATTCCGAATACAGGCACAAAAAAACAAGACATTATTGATTTTATGAAAGATAAGGGAATGGAAATACCACAAAAATCAACCAAAGCCATATTATTGGATCTTATTAAAAGACAAAAATTTGAAAAAGAGTATGTTGTTGACAATCTGCTTCAGCAAAATGGCCATGAAGTATTACGTCTGCCTCCCTATTACTGCATTTTTAACCCGATTGAGTTGGTCTGGGCTGCTTTAAAAAAAAGTAAGAAAACATAATCAGACCCCTCAATTAAGTGAATCGCTATTGGCCACAATAAGAGATGCAGTATCTCATATTGCTGCCACAGACCTATGGAAGCACTGTTCTAGGCATATTATTGAAAAAGAAAATGAATATTGTGTTTTGCCTCCTGTAAATCCCGTTGTAATTCCTCTACAAGATGACTCTAGCGACAGCTCCGAAGGCGAGGATGATATATAAATACCTATAATTTAAGTCTTTATATACCTTTTTATATACCTACCTGCTATGTAAATATTTGCCTATGTCAAACGTTGGAATTCTGTAATTTTTCCATTTCTTAACTTTCAGTCAACATAAATTAAACTCCCAATATAAGTATTTTTTATCCCAAATCAAAAAAATAAGAAGATAGTAAAATCCATTTATTGTGATATAAAAACATTATTATTATTGTTCTAAATAAATCACCGCACGCCTATGATACGTCATGAAATTACAAAGGACGCGCCGACCAAAGGTTTTTATGCTATTTCAAGTGACTTCAGATACACCATACTAGTTCTTTCCATTCATCGGGAATATCGATAAGGTCATTTTTCAGGGCAGCGTATGCGTTTCTTGTCTTTTTTAGAGGAGACTTGCCTATGCTGGTTCACATTAGATGCGTTGGATTTACTTCATTTTAGCACCTAACGATCCGCAAGGATCTAAATACATTTTTTTTTATAAAAATTGGGCTTACTTAGTTTTTGCACCTTTCTGCAGTATTTCTTATACAACGGCAATGCTTTGCAAAGTGCTTTGATCTTCCCCTCAGTAATTTTCTTCTGAGGACACAATACAAGTTCATTGGCTGTGTTATATACGCTAGTCGTCAAGGCCATTCGTTATTCCACCCTAGCGTGACCTCCCAAATACATTATGTCTAACAAAATTGCTCTTTTCCCTCGATTGCGCCTGTCTCCTCCTCACATGTATGTTAGATACGTTTCTTAATTTTCTTTAGCGCTGCTCATAAAAGTGTGTTCGGCTATGGAAGTTACACTTCTGAATGATTTATGCAGAACCTAGTTACTACAAAGGCAAACATGTAACGTAACACAGCAGGTGGCCGTTGGTCAGGCAAGCAGCTAGAATTTGTTGAAGTTCTATGTATTTATTAATTATTATCATTATTATAATTGTTAACAAAATTAGAGCTCAAGCGTTACGTCGGTTTATTTAAGTTTATCAGTATGTATTACTATTAGTAAAATAAACGCATGTATGTCGCATACAACTGTGTATAATTTCATTCAAGTGGGCTTACACTGCTTACGACTAGGTAGCTCACTGTCCGTTCCAAAATTATCAAGGTTGACGACCACTGCTCTAAACCTAACATTAAAACGACAAGTCAGAAATACCAAAAAGAAGCGAACGCAGGTTTTACAATATCCTTCACGCACTTATTTGAAAAGCTGAATCATGGCAAAAGGAACAAAACAACGTGAGCAACGATTGCAGGAGAGCAGTGGAAACGGAAGAGTATCGGAGACAGTTTTCGTTTACGGTGCTCTTGCGGTACGGACATTAAAATTTTATCGGCATGTAGCAAGCCAAGCCAAGCCAGCCATGGCCAATAAAAATAAATAATTCGCTCGGTTTCGATAGGATCCAATTAAAATTGTTAATTGCGAAAGGCGATGCACTCATGGACGTAGATCAAGGGGGCATGATCGACCTTTTATAATATTACAAGGTCTGGGAGGTGAGCTTCTCTTTCTGTAAATTCTAAATTCGATTCCTTAGATATATGATGAAGAAGAATATATACGAAATGATAATAAGAAAACAACCCACTGATTAATAGAACGAAACATTTACGCCATTGCCTTTCGTTTATCTGAAAATATAAATGAAGGATTTTCTGAACACAAAGTTCATAGCAGGGTTAGAAGTCGACGTGGTGAAACGAGGAATCCACAGTTTTTTGTTGAAAGACATGTTCATCACACTGTTGGAGTTATGGTTTGGGGTGCTATAGCTTATGGTTCCAGGTCACCTTTAATCTTCTTCAGAGGTAACATGAACGCGCAGCGTTATATCCACGGAGTTCTAGAACCCCATCTTTTACCCTATCTTGACACCCTGGCAGATCCAACTTTCCAACAAGATAATGCCCGACCACATGTTGCAAGAGTCACAATAGACTTCTGTCAACATAATGATGTCACATTGTTACCATGGCCACCAAGATCTCCCGACTTATCCCCAATTGAGCACGTGTGGGATATGATGGGTAGGAGATTGCTCAATTTGCAACGTCCTCCTCAGACTCTAGAAGCACTTCGAGAGGAGTTGGTGGTTGCCTTGAATGAGATACCACAGGAGGACATTGACGACCTGATCAGAAGCATGCCTAGGCGCGTTGGAGAATGCGTAGCACATCAGGGTGCATCCACACATTATTAAAGGTCAAAGGGCTTTAAAGCAGTGCAATCATTTTGAAATTTTTATCATTTACTTATTATGCTTCATTAAGTACTTATACCAAATTTTATTAAAATAAAACCAGTTAAACTGGGTGTTCGGATTTATATGTCACTTAGTATATATATGAGCAGCAGTAGTCATTGCCATTGCCAACCACCAGTAGGGCAAAGAAATACAATTAATTGTTAATTGGGAAATTGGCAAACTTTTTAGGATTCAGTTAACTCTAAGTCGACGTCAAGCCGAAACCGGGTGATAGGCAAAGTCATAACAGCTATCAGAAAAATATTTAAAGAAATTTTATGTATGTGTTTTGAAAATTATAGGTCTTTGAAAAAAATATAGAAATTTCACACCCTACAGCAGTCTGTCAACTCCTGTTACTACAAATATTAACTTTTTTGGATTTTATTTTTACAATGTAATGTTGAATAATGCATCTTCAAACTGGTGTCTCAACCTTACTGCCAACTTTTCTCGTTCAGCAAAAATTGACACTTATTTCCCAAACAAGTATTCCAAAGTAAAACTTTGCTCAACTTTAACTGGCTGTACTGGAAAAAAATGTACTACGAGAGTTTGGCAAGTAACCTTAGAAGTTGGCGCATTTAATAACGATTCCAAAATGGTATAACACTTAGAAGATTACTCGTTAACTTATGCAGAATTTTTATTTGAAAAAAAACTGATGAAAATTTTTCAAAATTTCCTAATTAAACAGCGATTATGAAAACGCACAAGGGCCCTTAAGGATAACTGTTTGCACAACAGTGGGCGTCAAAATGCTGCTGATGATGATTTACCTTTACATCAAATGCTCAAACTGTTTTTCTTCAGCCGCAATACACGCTCGACATCTTCTTAAAAAAGATCGGGTTATTAAACGAGCGAATCCACGGTTATTATCAAACTCAGCTGCTTCCAATAGTCTTTGCCGTAGCTCAGCTACATTTTGAATCGGCTTGAAATACACTTTTTCTTTTACAGTTCCCCAGTAAAAAAATCTAAAGGATTCAAATCAGGTGATCGGGTTGGCCACGGTATTGT